TCTAAATGGGTCTGAAATTTATCACTTGTTCTCTATCTGTTTTCTCATTACAAATATAGGACTTCATCATATCTTGCTTCTAACTGGTTATCCTGGCTTTTCTCTCTTCCAAATCAGTCCATGCTTTGCTTTCCTTCAGAATGAACGTTCTAAAATGTAAGTCTGATCTGTCATTCTCTTATTCATTTTTCCCATTGTCTACAGAATAGGGGCCAACCTCCTTAGTATAAGAGAACTTTTTCTCTTTCATTCTTATCTTGAAGATGGTCCCAAATAAAGCTATCTGCGGTTCCTGGAAAACACTGGTTTCTCCTCTCTCTAATTTCTATTCAGATGTCACTTCTTCTGAAAAGCTTTCTTAGACTTGCCTGAGTAGAGGTAGCACCTTTTTCCTGTCTGACTTCACAGCACATTCTACCAATGCTAAGAACTATGGATTGAGCATCGTGTCATTATATTATATATTACTAAGAAAAAAGAGCGTGCTAACGATTTAAATGATACACAGTCCTCATCATTTAATTTCACATGAACGGATAAAGCTCCTTTATATCCTTTTAGAGAAAAGAAATGACAAACCATAGAATTGGAAGATACCATAGAGTTCAGAGATATTAAATTTCCAAGTCAGAGATATTAATATGTGAGTGCAGGTGCACTTCAGAACTGATGAAATAGCTGGATGTGATTGTTGTTTGTTTATTATTAGCCTCTACTGCATTCCTGGAAGCTCTTCAAGTGTCAGGAAATGTGATTTTGTTCATCCTAATTTCTTAAAGCTTTTACATTTCAAAAGCACATAACTAGTGTTCAATCAGTGTTGCAGAGGACCTTTATATTCCCATGGATTTGGGTTGATTTTGACTGCTTCATGTATTATATGTAGTTTCTAGAAAGTAAAATATCTTAATTATTTTAAGCTGCCAAAATTCTATTCCACCTTGCCTGCTAAAATCACAAAAATCTGTATCTTTGCTAAGAGGGTATGTTTATTTGAGAATGGGAATTAAAATCTTAAAATAGTAGCGTTGGAAAGAATCATAGAAATCACCTAATTTAAACTATTTAATATTTATACATTAAGAAAACAACTTATCTGGGCCTCCCTGGTGGCACAAAGGGTTAAGCACCGCACTATGAAGCAATCCATAGCCATTGCAGCATGAGTTCGATCCCTGGCCGGCCAGGGAGCAACCCACATGGTGCAGCAAACCTCTCCTGTCTTGCCTGCTGCTCCCCTCAGCAGTGTATTTCAGTCAGTCTGCCTGTTCTGTTCCCCACTCTATCTCTGGTGAATCCTCCCACCCCCTGCATCTCTGACCTGTACCCCAGCTACTGTACGTATAAATAAATAAATCGTTGGAAAAAAAAAAGAAAACAAGTTATCCTAATACTTGATATTCATCAAAAACCTGTACAGCAGATAACCAGAGCATCTAATAAGTGAGCATTGACAAATGAGACATGATTACAGCCAAAAGCATACAACTTTGACAGTAAAAGATTTTAAATTAATGTAAAGTGGACTTTTGTGTGTTGAATCTGTACACATACAAAAGATGTACATATGTGTACATTTATATGTGTATCCACATATAGGCATATAATTGTGTATGTATCTATTCATACTTGAATGTATTCATGCATGTATATTCATGTATGTAAATATGTATATATATGCATACACACATAATATATAGATTGCATAGATAGATTATGTAATCATCACCATAGACACAATCTATACATTTGACAAAATGGGAGACTTGGTGGCTCTGAAATTCACGTCTCTTTATCTTTAGCTCAGTATTTTCTCCATTATTTCTTTATTATTATTAATTTTATTTTCTCAATATTTCATATCAACTCTTTTCTTTATAAATATTCTCTGGTCCATGCACGCTGTCCTGTTCAATATTCCCTATCATTCTTTGTACTTATCTTATGGCACCTTTATTTAGGATAAACCTTCTGCCTTAAATAACCTCCACTTTCAGAAATGAAGCAAAGACTTGTCTAAACCCTACCCTTTGTTCAATAAATCAGATTCTGCATTCCATGAAGCTTTCTGATTGCTATTGATAATCTTTCCTTTTCCAAACTCTTATAACATATTCTGTATGTTAGCTGGCATTTTAACTTATGTTAATTTATTTTATTGAAGTAACATTGCATTATAATGTTTCAAGTGTGCATTATAAATGAACATCTAGATATACTACATTAAGTTTGTCACTAAAAGCACAATTCTATCCTTTTTTTTTTTTTTAAAGATTTATTTATTTATTTATGCATACAAGCACTGGGTACAGTCAGAAGCGCGGGAGGGTGAGAGAATTCACCAGAGCCAGAGCGGGGAGCAGAGCAGGCAGAAGGACCGAAGTACACTGCTGAGGGGAGCAGCGGGCAGCAGGAGAGGTCTGCGCGCCAATGGGGACCCCCCTTCAGTGGCCGGGGAGCAGCTGGGGATCGAACTGGCGCTGCAGAGGCTTTGGGCAGCTTTGCAACCCAGCACTCAACTGCTGCGCCACCGGGGAGGTCCCTATCCTTTCTTTTTTAATGTATTTATATTCTTTTTCCTATATGCTGCAAATGGAATTTTGATCATTAACTGCTTATTCATTCCTTCAATTTAGTTTTTACTTAGTGAAAATTTGTATAATCAGGGAGTTCTTTTTCTTTTGGGAGTCTTCCAGGTATTTACTTTCTTTAGTCTTCTAACCATGGCAATGTTTTCTCTTCTTTCTACTATTGCATAGTTTCAGAGTCACTTAGATGACCTTTTTTTTTTTTTTTTTTAAGCATTGGTTACTATGGTTAAAAAAAAAATCACCAGCTGAAGTATGATATTTTTACTGGTCATCGGTCTTTTTGGATTGTTGGTGTCTGAATTCTCTTGTGTTTTGGAAATTCCCTGTGTTATTCTTTTGTCTCCCTACCTTCCACTATACAAGCTGCAGACAATGTATCTTTATTTTCCAATCCTACTTTGCAGCTAGGACCCCAACATTGAATTAGGAGTTAAAAGTTAAAAGAAGAAGAAATGATAGCCCTGAATTTTTTCTGGTAGTGATGGGTGGCAATAGTGACATCCATTTTACAAGGGGAGGGGCCATTTGGTAGTGGTAGAGGCAGCATTGTAAACTGTGGTATCTTTTGTTTAGTTGCAACAATGACATTGCCTTCTCACGACAGCTTTTGTAGCATGATTTTGACAATGATCCGGAGGCCTGATTTTCTATCCTTCCCCTACTTTGTTCTTATCTGTAATGATTAAAACCAGTCAAGATTGGTTTCTTTTGCTAGCAACTAAGAATATGGTATCTTAGACCCTGGAGTACAAGCCCTGCAATGGTTCTAATCTTGGCTTAGTCCCAGGTTGCCTGACCTTGGGTGAAGCACTTATATATTCAAATACTTCATTTGAAGTATTTGAATAAAACAAGGAATATTCAAGGTCTTTTCAGCTTTAAATCCTGTTATTTTTGCTTCTGCTAATTGGCCAGTGGGATGCTAATGTGATCATCATTAGCTGCCAAACCCATTAGTGGGTATCGCCAAAATTCTGCTCACAGTGTTTTAGTGTGGTATTGTTCTTTTCTATTCTAGCAATTCCCGGGTTCTTGTGCCTATATTTAACCCTATTGGTTAGCTACTATTTACTGGTACTATGCACTGCTTGCATCTTGACAGGTGTAAAAATGTTCTTTGTTCTCTGTTTAGTGATCTTATTGAAGGGAAAAATGCTTTAGGCACCAGTGGGTTTTGAGGCTTTTGTGGTAATGTTGATTCAGACGAGAGCTCCTTAGTGGAGAGTTGAGATTCAAAGTCATAAATTGTAAAAATTACATTTTAATGTAGTACTGTTGGGTGAGAGATTCACGGTTTAAAGAGACCAACCTTTTTTTTTTTTTATAGTTCTTTACATATGCACAGTGTGGTAACTAATGTGAAATAATTTTCAGGAAAGCTAACAGCAAATATATTTTAAGTGTCATCTCATTGTGAGGTTATATTCATTAACTCTGCAGTTGTCTTTTTAAAAAAAGGGAAAAGGAAGTTTGAGGTCATTCACATTCAGACCTGGCTTCACATGGAAAGAATTTCCTTGTGACTTCCTGACCCCTAATCAATGTATTTTCCAAATACCATATGAAAATAAAATGAGAAAATCATTAATTTTGTCTTCCATCTTACCTTTAAATTTGGATGATTTCCTTATGGTTTCATTTATAACCACAACAAAAATTGCTAATGATTTTTTTATTTGGTCATATTGGTCTCAGAAGCAGCAAAGGATATACCGGGTTGTCAGTGAAGGTGATAGGTACTTTGTTAGGAGAGCTTCATTATTGCATCTTCTAGGGGAAAAAGTGTACAGAGTTTATGAATAACCATTCAGATTCATGTTTAACAAACATTCATGAAACACCAAATGTGGTTATGACTTTCACTTTTTATGGCAATGCCATATTTTTAATTTAGTGACTGCATTGCTATGGAGTTATATTAGACAATCTTATACTGGTCTTCTAATTTTGCTGGAAAATATTTAAAACATTAACATACATGGAGCAATTCTAAAATGCTTAAGTGTGCCAAACCATGCAATGTTAATCATAAAATGTAGCAGAAGATTAGATATAAAAATGTGGGCTAGAGGGCCTAAGAATACTTGATAGTAGAGTTGGGACTTGAGGGATGATGTGCTTATAATATTCTTAGAGGGCAGAGGAGGGAAAACTATTTAGGGGAAGCAGACCAAAAGAGAGAGAGTGTGGTGTATGCATGTAGCAGTGAGAAGGAAATTGCTGGATAGAGGTTGGTGTTTGAGTAATGTGGGTAATTGGGCAGTAAGGCTAGTGCTAGATTAAAGATTGAGAACTTGTAGTTGAAATAGGCCATAGAAAGATATGATAAACATTTGTTTGTAGAGCATTTAGAAAAGATAGTTTTGTTTATTATCTTACATTTTCTTGTTTTCTTTTGTTTTTCTTCAGACTCCCTCGAGCCTACTTATCAGCAGCTTCAGAAAATGAAATTGGACAAGAGTCCCTTTGTGGTCGTATCTGTGGTTGGACAGGAACTCCTGACAGCTGGCCATCATGGGGCCTCTGTAGTTGTCTTAGAAGCTGCCCTGAAGATTGGCACCTGCAGCCTCAAACTGAGAGGTTCTGTTTTCTCTGCCCTGAGCAGTGCTTACTGGTCTCTTGGGAACACAGAGAAGAGCACTGGTTACATGCAGCAGGACTTGGACGTAGCCAAGACCTTAGGTAGGTTACATGTCGCCTTTATTTCAGTGCAGATGGGAAATAAACAAAGCTGATTGACTGGACATGAATGGGAATAATATATGCAATGAAAAACAAGTGTGTCTCTAGAACATTGTATTTTAGAGCACTCAGCACTTTAGGACTTTTCATATAAGCAAGTTTTAAGACCCCCAAAAGGTCAAGAGATGTTGATTAACATATTTATTGCTCTCTTCAGAGATTTGGGCTCATAGGTTTAATATCCTAAGTCATAGTGTTGGTGAATAAATTGTTCATCTTAATTTCAATTTTTGCCTACATTAGAATGCATCATTATATTGTTGGAGGAGATAGTACAGTGGTTAATAATGTGGACAGTGGAGCCAGACTGCTGAGTTTAGAGGCCTGGTTCTGCCACTTTCTAGCTGTGCTGCACTCAGCAACTTGCCTAACCTTTCTGTGCTGTCTTTTTCTCATTTGTAAAGTAAGTATGGCTTATGATTATGATTATCATCCAAGTGATTATTTAAGAACTTGTAGGATTGCAGAAAGACAGAGCAGATGGTAAATATACAATCAGCATACTTGTAAAGAAGCAACATCTTGTAAGTTTGGAGTCAACTGACTGGCCAAAAGTTGTTGGCAGAACAGTGAGATCATACAAACATAGCTCATTTGTGTCAAAGGTTTTAACCTCTCATTTGCAGGACACCAATATCCCTGACTATTGTTCTCCTATAACAACAGCAACAATTGTTGACCAGAAATTTAAATTCTAGGACCATAACTTTTCATATATAGTCTAAATAAATTCTAGGACCATAACTTTTCATATATAGTCTTATTGAAGAAGAAAATATTTCTTTAAAAGAAGTCAGGGGCTCTTTAATGAAGATGGATGTTATAAATAACATTAAATGAAGAAGTTTTTTATGTTTTGTATTTTTTAAAATCCAATTAGGTGACCAGACAGGAGAATGCCGAGCTCATGGGAATCTGGGTTCTGCATTCTTCTCCAAAGGAAATTACCGAGAGGCTCTCACTAACCACAGGCATCAGTTGGTGCTCGCCATGAAGCTCAAGGACAGAGAGGTAGGAAACTTACTTGCAGACCAAAAATATATTTTTTGAAACATGGAATTTTTTTTGCTATTCAGAATGTCTTAGGTATGTTGATAACATGATAATCATTGCTTCCAACTTTCATCAACAATTCCTTATAGTCTCTGACCTGAGGATCTAATAGTTTGGTCAGATTCATTGGTCTTATTCTCTTCACAGGTGCCTTGGGGTAAACCTATGTAAAATTAGCAAAAAGTTATATCATTATAATATATTTACTATACTAAAGAAGCAAACATGCTTTCTTTGAAATATAGAATATTATTACTGTAAATTCTTCATATTGTTTCTTTGATGGATTTTTAAATCAGGTTTGAAAGTACATTAAGTCTGATTGAGAGACCTGAATTATAATGATAATCATTATCCTAGTCTTTTTTTCTTATATCGTTGTTTATTTTGTACAGTAATTGGTTTCTCCCTTCAGATGTAGCCCCTGTAGTTCTCCTACCACCATATCACCCACGAACCATCACCACAGTCCCTTGTGCTATTCGCTCCCCCATTTTTATCCCTGTTTCCTTGTTGTATGCCTCAGATCAATGGCCAACTTGAAAGTTTTGTCTTTGTCTTGACCTTTTGTTTATCCTGGTCTTATGTAATATAGTACATGTAATATCGGAGTTGCTATTTAGTAGAAGCAGTAAGATGTGAAAGTACTTGCGGGGTGGAAAGAGAGTGGGGTTTGGAGTGACATATCCAGATTTGAATTCTTGCTCCAGTGTATCCTAGCTCTGAGAACTTGGGGAACTTATTACTTAATTCTTCTTTGCCTCTGTTTTCTTATTTAAAAATGCCAGTTCTATTTTTTCTATACACATTTGTGATAGAGTTATAAATTACATAGTGCCTAACATAGTACCTGAAATTCCATAGTAGAATTACCTAAATGATGGTTTTTAATATACTGTTATCAATAAGAAAAAGAAGGTTAACAGCAGAGGCAACAATAAACTTATGAATCAATGTGTTGAGAAGTATATTTTGTTACATTTATCTTTCAGAATTTCACTATGGGACATATAGAGATTAATTATATTATTTAAATGATCCAGCATCTTCAAGTCTCTAGAATATAGTTAGGCACTTAGAAGAAACTGGGAAAGTTTGCTCTAACAACAGGCTGAAATCTCCTCTTAGGAAGACTAGACTTCTACAAAATCTGTCTCATCTTTGGGTGCCAGAAAAAAAGCCTTTGAAAGCTACTAAAGTAAAGTAGGTCATTCAAAAGTTATGGACTTTTGGAAAATTTATTTTCAAGAGAGTTGTTTATACATTTTGTTCTTTGCCTAGTGACTCTTAGTTTACAAACAATTCCTATAAACTTGATGATCTGTCTTTTTTTTAATGTTAAGAGAGTGAGAAGAAGGGTCATAATTCTAGAGGCAGATAAACAGATGGCATTAAGACTTGGACTCTTAGTGGTGACCTTAATGTAGTATACACACATGTTGATTCTCAATTATGAATACCAGAAACTTATATAATGTTACAATGCAATGTTACTTAATTTTTAAAAAGTGAGAATTGGGTTTAAATAGCACAGTTATACAGATAGGGCCATTTAGTGAAGGGACAAAAATAGGTATATGCAAATATGCCAAGAGCTTCTTTTTTTTTTTTTAAGATTTATTTTTATACAAGAACAAGGGTATAGGCCAGATGCGTGGGAGGGTGAGAGGATTCACTGGAGACAGAGCAGGGAACAGAACAGGCAGACTGAAGAAATACACTGCTGAGGGGAGCTGTAGGCGAGACAGGAGAGGTCTGCTGTACCATGTGGGATTCTCGCTGGCAGGGCGGGATCGAACCCGCGCTGCAGAGGCTGCGGACAGCTTCACAGTGTGGCACTCAACTACCTGCGCCACCAGGGAGGCCCCCAAGAGCTTCTTTTAATTCTCTTGTTTTCCTAAACTTTGGGTAGGGTAAAAAGGCTTTTAATTAGGGGAATAGGATTAATTTTTAAACCTCATTTCCTTTTCCCCTTTGTGAGTAGAGAATGTCCAGATACATAATTAATGATCTGTGGCCTGGCCTCTAAGTTGGAAAATCCCATTTGTTTTCTCCTTAAAGTTACAGCCCTGTTATTGCCATTCCCTTTCACTTGCTGAGTCCAGTTGAAAGTTAGCCAAAGCTTGACCATAGCAGAAGCCTTGGTCTGGGATGTTCCTAATGTTTAGCCTGTTCTCTTGTTCTATTCTGTGAAAGCATATGTATCTAATTTCTTCACTGACTTAATAGAATTTCTCTTTTCTCTCACTGTGTGTCTCTTCTATTATATTTTTCTCTGAAATTATGGGGGTACCATTATTTTCTTGAGAAATTTGTTACTTACCATTTCTCTTAATTTTTAAGGTTATAATTGTTGTTTCTTGCTTAACTATAATTAACTAAAAATCTTTATTTTTTTATCTTTGAAACCACCCACCAGTTGTTAAGACTATTTAATATTGGTTAGAAATTAAAGGATAAATCTACAAAAAGTCCAAAGGGAACAATACATTATTGCAATAATGTATATTTTATTTAAGTTCAAAGTTTTCGTTGAACTTAGTTGACTATCTTCTAGAATTTATTTAATTCAGTTATATGTAATGTCTGGTCATAAAAACCCTAATGTGTGCAAATCACTGTACTGAGGGTTCAGGGTTTAGGTGGAGGGTGTGGGATTACTCTTCTTGAGGGGCATATGTTCTCTTTTGGTCGGAGGTTTAATATGAGAACAATATTAAAATACTACTTGATGTCTATGAGTGCCTTGGTGGTGGGTGTGATGTGGTAACATACACTTCACTTGAAGCAATGAGATCCTATATCTGTGAATCATATACAGTGCTCCAAACCAATGTTATTTTCATTAAAAAAAAAAAATTAATGGGCCTCTCAGGTGGCTCAGTGGGTTAAGCACAGCACTGTGAAGCTGTCCACAGCCTCTGCAGCGCGGGTTCAATCCTGCCCAGCCGGCGAGAATCCCACGTGGCACCGCAGACCTCTCCTGTCTCACCCGCTGCTCCCCTCAGCAGTGTCTTAGGTCCGTCTGCCTGTTCTGATCCCTGCTCTGTCTCTGGTGAATCCTTTCACCCTCCTGCACATCTGGCCTGTACCCCGGTTCTTGTATAAATAAATCTTAAAAAAAATTATGAAAATCCCCAAAGATACAGACAGAGACAGCAAAGTCATCTTCTCTACCATAGAAGGATTTTTGCTCTAATGGGGAATATGCACATGTAAGTGAATACAGTGTATGGTCACATGTTTAGAAATATGTATAGGTATACTGGGGAACAAAGAGGAGAGCAGAGTGTTATCTAGGTGGTGTGGAAAAGGCACTAAAGGATTTCCAAGTAATGTACTTTCCCCCCTCTTTATGGAATGCCATCTTGGTATCGATATTGTCTGTATGGCAAATTGCTACTACTGATCTTGGGCTCGGCGGACTCTTCTCTGCTCCCTCCTTTATGCTCCCAGATGACCTGTATATACCTCCATTAAAGTAATTGTACTAAAAAAAGTGCTGCTTGAGTAATAAATGATGAATGTACTCTTAATCACTGCCAAGATTCGAGAGGAGAAAGAGACTAGTATATACTTGAGAAAGCTTCATGAAACAAGTGGAACTCAAGCTGGGCCCTCAGAGAGACATAAAAATTAGTGTATGAAGTTCTAGAACCTGGTCATTGTGTCAGTCATGTTTTGCTGAGTGATAAGATAGTTCATGTCTTAGCAAAGATCAGATATTCTCCACTATTCTATTCATTAAAGTCACATACTCTTGACTTCTAAAAAGGTAATGATTATTACTTACATGTAATTATGTAAGAAATACATGAAAATAATATAAGATCTTAAGCCTATCATTCTGTTAATATTTTTGGAACATGTTTCTGGTCATATATGCAATTATACTTGTTTATATGTATTCAAAGAAAAATTATAATGCGTTTTATAACTTGTTTTGTGTTAATTTTTACCTCTTAATTTTTAAACATTTTATTAAATGTTTTATGACTATCACAAATGTTGTGCTGTTAGTTTGTTTCATAATTTTTGGCAGTATAAGATCTGGCAGTAAAACATCTTTGTACATAAATCTTTAAACTTCTATCTCATAATTTCATTTGGTTAAATTATTAGGAAGCACACCTGCTTGGAAAAAAAAAAAGTCTTCTGATACTTACTGCTAAATTGCTCTCAGAAATACTATCTATTGTCAATCCTATCTACAATGTATTAGAACTAAAAAATCAATTTGACAGGTAAAAAAAGTTATCTTATGATTTTGTGTTTTTTGATCACTGTTAGGCTTGGCTATTAAAAAATTCTTTAAGAAAGATCATTTTGTTCATATTTCTTTTGTAAAGAGCTTTAATACTCAACCTATTTTCTTGTATTAGGTACTGGTTATTTTATATTGATCTAATTCTAGGCATTGCTGTCTTATCCTGCTGAACTGTTGGGCAATTTGTGTTCTTATATACAGTTTTAATTACTATTGCTTTATCATATTTGCATTTGTTACAAGTCCCATACTATTATTCTGTTTGAAAATGTTTAAGGATATTCTTGTCCCCCTCCTACACTCCCCTGGCTGAATGAACTTTAAAATCATTTTTGCAAAATTTTGGAGAATCTTCATTGGGATTTTTGTTGGAATTGCATTAAATTTATATACTAATTATAGATAAATTGGTTTATTTTCAAGAGTCTTCTATTCAGGAGCATGATTTTGTTTCTGCATTTACACTTTCCTGCCTCTCACTGTTCTATGCTTACGGGGAGATTTTTTTTCTTAGCTATTTAATGTATTTCCTAGTTATACTATATTTATGTATTTCTAAATAATCCTCATTGGCAATCAAAGATTTTTTTCTATTGTGCATTTTTAAAATTTCTTACTGAAGTAACATATGTTTCAGGTGTCAGTGATATAATCAACATTTGTATTACTACAGTATGTTTGCCACTTAAAG